TGTCACCAATTTATATGTAAATGTAACTATCCTGGCACTCTTTTCACTATCAGGAGTCAACTCTTTGGGTTGGTGTCTTTAACTCTGAAGGTGTTTCTGCTGCTTGCTATGCACTTATGTTTGATGTGTTACTTGTGAGGTCCATACATTCAGTTCCTTGCAAAAGGGCACTAGTATACTTCTTAAAACATCTATTTAGCTTTGTTATTGGAAGAGAGAAAGATCTATTTAGCTGAAACTCTTTTGAAACAAATAAAATTTTTAGTTGTGCACTTTTTCTTTTTTGTAAACTCCAATTTCTTACCTGTTGAATTAGATTGATGGAGGAGCCAGCTGCATATGGAAAGTTAGGGTTGGCCAATCTTTTGGAACTAAGGGAAGAGTGCTTGAGGGAGTTCCATTTTGTTGACGCCTATAGAAGCATAAAGCAGAGGTAGCTAACTTCTTATATGATATGAATTTGAAGATGAAACGATCCCGCCTTTTCTGATAAATCACTCCTTTAGCTAATCCTTCTCCCCCTTTTCCTCTGAACTTGGCAGGGAAAACGAGGCATCCCTTGCTGTTTTGCCTGATTTGTTGGCGGAGCTTGATCATATGAGTGAGGTAATGCATCTCTATATATCCTTGTCCTTTCATTGCTCAAAGAAAGGAGATGGGGATTTTCAATTCTATGGACATATAATGTAGTCTCCAACTAATATTGCATACAGATATGTCACTTTACTTGGATAAAGAATAATTGATCAAATATTGGGTAAATTTCCATCCAAATTTGTCCCTAATTGATTTTGGCACGTGTGATTCCCTCGTGCAAGCATACTTCTGCCACCAACTCTGCACATCCGGCACCTTTCTGCTGATAATCTAAGGGCATTTTTACTTACAGGAGGAAAGGCTGCTTACTCTTATTGAGGGTGTGCTAGCTGCAAATATTTTTGATTGGGGAGCTCGTGCATGTGTGGATCTTTATCATAAAGGAACAATCATTGAAATTTATCGAATGAGTCGCAATAAAATGCAAAGACCTTGGCGGGTTAGTAAAAGATGAGCAAGTATTTTTTGGCTGGAAAATCTTGATGTTTGTTCACATCAATTTTTATCAGTTATTTGTGTACTTGTAATGAAAATAAAGTCTTTGATTTATAATGCAGGTGGATGACTTTGATGTCTTTAAAGAGAGAATGTTAGGGTCTGGAGAAAAGAAGCCTCACCCACATAAAAGAGCTTTGCTATTTGTGGACAATTCAGGGGCAGACATTGTTTTAGGGATGCTCCCTCTTGCACGAGAACTCCTGCAACGTGGAACTGAAGTATGTATCTTCTATGTAGTTCTTGTCAATGAGTTTTATTGAGTAAAATAATAAGATGGCATCATGAAAAACAGTGCATAGAAATCTCTATGTATATTCTACGTTAATAAAGTTATCCCTTTCTTACTGGTATTGCCCCTTTAGAGGTATAATATGATTCAGAACCTTCTTATTGATTGTCTGGGAAAACCTAGTAATAAGATTTCTTTGCAGGTTGTTTTGGTCGCAAATTCCCTTCCTGCACTAAATGATGCCACTGCTATGGAGCTTCCTGAAATTGTAGCTGAGGCTGCTAAGGTTTGTGGCACATCATCTTTATAAATCTTTCTTCTTCTACGGACCTGATTGGGCATTTTCAAGTGTACTTGCCTATTTATGGTTGCACTGCAGCTCTAACTAATCCGTTTTATGCTCTACGTAAAAATTGAATGCTTTATATTCTAATTTGTGCTTGGACTCTTGATTTTTCCTGCGACGGGAGCTTTCTGTAGAGGAATATCTAGTTTTTTTGCAAACGTGTATTTAAAAGATTGATTAGTTGAAAATTTTCAAAACTGGTATGAAATTCATGGAAGCTTTTGGAATAAAGGAGGATGAGATAATGGTCTTGGTTCAATTTGAGACCTATAAATATTCTGTACTATATTATTGCAAACTCTTGAGCCTCTATTCCTGTTGATTTCATTATAGTTTCAACACAGCTAACAATTTCTTCCACAGCATTGTGACATCCTGCGCAGAGCAGCTGAAGCAGGAGGGCTACTTGTAGATGCAATGATAAATACCTCGGATGGCTCCAAAGAAAGTTCGTCTTCACTGCCTTTGATGGTTGTGGAGAATGGCTGTGGGAGTCCATGCATAGACTTGAGGCAGGTTAGCTCTGAGCTGGCAGCAGCTGCAAAAGATGCTGATTTGGTATTATACTTTCTCTATTTATTATTTCTTTATCAGGAGTGTCTTTTCCAGTTTTTCTTTAGAGCGATTACATATAGTCATTTGTATTATGCTTGAATCAGTTCATTTTTCATTCAACTCATAGTCAATCACTAGTTCTAATTTTGATGTTAGCCGTGAAAAAACTAAACGGAACATAAATGTAATCATGTGACACGTATTTTTACTTTGCAGATTATCTTGGAAGGGATGGGTAGGGCTCTCCACACAAATTTCAATGCCCGGTTTAAGTGTGATGTTTTGAAGGTAGTTACAGTTCTCTGAAATAGTGCACTTTTCAAAGTTCTTCTGAAAAGATAGGAAGAAAGATATTACTTAAACTTTTAATTTTCAATTCTCAAACACTTGCCTGGGCACATAATTTAAAGTAGAAAACATTAATTTTGCAGCTTGCAATGGTGAAGAATCAAAGATTGGCGGAAAAATTGATTAGAGGAAACATATACGACTGTGTCTGCAGATACGAACCAGCCAGTTGAAGATTACTTGCAGCCATGTGAAAATTGATTAGTGGTCGCTGTTATTATATCAATAATCTAATTAAGTAGTTATAGAAGGAATACTTGCAAAATAGAAGAAACTGGATCAGAAGCATGGTCCAATTTGTAGCCTTCCCTGTTTGATGTTTACTTCTTTATAAGCACGTTTGTAGATTTTATGAATAATAATAATAAGAAGAATATCTGCTTTCCTGTTACAATAACATCATGCACTTTTCTTGTGAGTTGGGGCAAATCTTGGTAAACAATCAACATGAAACAGAGATTGACTGGTAAACCAGACCAAGGGGAATTGTGAATCAAGAGCAAATGTGGACGGTCTGTGAGTTTGGCTTCCGAGAAAGCAAAACTCTATAATAGAAAGTGTATACGAAAACGAGCAGACAGGGCATTTGGTCTAGTGGTATGATTCTCGCTTTGGGTGCGAGAGGTCCCGAGTTCGATTCTCGGAATGCCCCGTAATTTGCTCTTCTTCTTTTGGTAAGATCTTTTTGGAGTTTGTGAATTCTATTTTCAGTTGTTAAAATGATGTCATTGGCGGCAAGCTAAGATAACTCAAACTGGTCGGTATGCTTTACCGAAAATCTTAAAAATCATTTATTGAAGTTCAACATTCATAAAATTAAAGCAAGAATTCACATTGATTAATGACAAGCTATTATATAATATATATCAGAATTTTATATATACAAATACTATCGACCAACAGTGTAGCTGTTCTCATTTTCTTCATTTTGGTTAAAAAGAAAACTAGTTAGTAAAGAAGATGGGGAGCTGGTGAACTCTCTTCTATCTTATTGGAAGAAAGAAAAAGAAAAAAAAAAGTTGAAAATTTTAAAAATGAATTTTCTTTTGTATTCCTTACTACCCAATTTAAAAAAAAAAAACAAAAAACAAAATATGACTAGAACCCTTTTCATTTTCATTTTCAACTATTCAAGCAATGGAATCATTTTAATCTCCTTTATTGGGTCAACATTTTCTACAAGTATCTTTTCTTGTTGACACCTCTCTCTGGTTTTGTTTGATCGTACATAATCCATGACGATACTCCGGAAGCTCCAAGTTTGCTTATCCCCCCTTCCACTTACTGTACCATTCGAATAGGCTTTTAAATATAACGTTTAACGTCATTAAAACACCTACGAAACACTTCCTTCTTTTCTTTCTTTTTCTTTTGTTTTTGCAGCTAATAAAATTAAGATCTTTTCAGGCATGAACATTTTGTAGGCGTTGTTTACATATAGCGTGCGTGCAGACTTTCTGTCCGTCTTTGGATGGTGATTTATATTAAATAAGCTTTTGGAGGAGTCATTATTTTCTTAAGACAAACTGCATCCATTCATTGGGAAAGATGACTAAATGCAGGCAGTTGCTGTATGTTTTTTCAAATTGCTGATAGGTGATTAAAGATAGACGATTGAAAGTCAACATATTATTTATTTATTTATTTATTTTTTTGAAATAACTGAATTTCAACATATAATATATTTAATTTACTACAAAATGAATATAAACCCTATGTTAGAAGGTAATAGTGATCGTTCTAGCATTTCTTACATGCAAAGACATGAATCTGCATTCTCCCAACACCAGACCATGTAGCCTGGCGCAAAATGATACAGCAAATGGACATTCCTGTCCATCTGGTAAAGCACTACAAGGCACAAAACACATACCATGCCATGGGGCACAATCCTACTTACAAATTATCAAACTAAGTCAGGAATTTTGGAAAACAAATTCAAACTATTCAAATGAGTACTGAAGCGAGAGATGGATGAGAGAAAGGAAAAAAAAAAAAAAAAAAAAAAAAAATTCTTCGATATCAAGAAAATGATGTTTGTATAGAGACCCTACCTATAATAATTCAGTACACTCATGCCATATAGCTTCCGCAGAATTTACATTTTTTTAAAAAGAATTTGTTAAATGAAACAAACTCATAAGAAATATAGGTTTACCAAAACACCATCTGAAGATAGCAGATTTTATTTTGTTTACTGAGTGAGCCCCAGAAATATTTTTGACTTCACAAGGTTACAAGAGTACTTTACCCAAACAAATTACAGTCGGTAGATATGGCATAGTAGAAATTTTTCATCATCATTTACAGAGTCAGTATTAAGCGCTAGCAGCTTTCTCAACTTGGCCAGCCTCCTTGGGGTTTGATTTTGCCTGTTTCTCTTTATAATCTTTAACAGCTGCCTTGATAGCATCCTCTGCAAGCATGCTGCAGTGCAGCTTCACTGGTGGCAGAGAAAGATGCTTGGCAATCTCCCTGCAAAACATTTAAAACATAATAAGCTACTTTTTCGAAAACATTTTAAGAAATGCAGGATCAAGACTGTGATTTTCCACTAATAGACCAATTCAGCATTTGGATTTGACACAGCATGATTTGGCAGAAAGTACAAAGTGCCAAAAGACCAAGTAACAATCTCCAGGTACGCCCATGATTGCATATAGTTAAGTATTCTTCCCTAACTTCATATTTCATTAAACCAAACCCATACAAAACCAGCACCAATATTTTTTTTTTTTGGTACAGACACCAAGCATTAATATCACTTTAACATCGACATTTCATTTAAACACGAAAGATTATTGAATATCATATCGAGATTCCAGATAGTTAGAAACAATCACATACAAATGAGAGTAAGTAAGAAATATAAAACAATTGTGCTTTTTTTTTTAAAAAAAAAAGAAAAACTCATTAAGAAAGAATTTGAACATGAAAAGAAGATGTACAAAAGAGTTATGGTGAAGAATCTCATAATTCAGTCATTTACTTACAATACAATTCACTTTGACTAAAAGCTGAAAGGAAAACAAGACCACTTCCGGAAAATAGGGAAAAAGAATTCTTAACAAGAATATTACATGATAATACATTCATTCACTTAAAGCCTAACACTAGAGCAATATGAAAAAAACAATCTCAAATAATCAGCACAAAGAACGCGCAAAATTGGAGAACCAAAATACTAATATAAAGCAAAGTTAACTCACGTGTTTTTAATCGATAGAACTTCTTCCATTGCTTTCCCTTTCACCCATTCAGTAGCTGAAACAAGAGGGCCAAACGAGTGGTAAAAGAATAGTTACTTTGAACAATGTAAGGAATTAGAATCACACCTAAACCACTCTTGCAGGCCTGTGAAATAGATATAGCCTAGATTAGGTTGCTTTTAAGGTACTTTAAGTACCACGCCTGCTGAATATTAACTTAAATTTCCCCATTCTTGACAAATTCAGCCACTCAAATACTTATTTATTTTGTTACCAAAAAAAAAAAAAAAAAAATCACAATAAACGTCATTATCCAAATATATAATTGTCTATTCTATTTAATTTGTAAATCAACATCTACTACTTTAAATAACCAATTTGGCTTTAAGAACGTTTCTTCATTAATATTCCAAACCAGAGCATCAAATAATACAACAGTCTTGAAATATAAATTTGTTTTAGATGTACTATTTGACCACTGAAAATACTTGCACATAAAGCCCATAGGTATTTAGAACACACGTTGAAGAGACAAGAAGAAAGGAGAATAATTTAATACCATGAAGAAGAGCTAATAAAACATCAATGCTTACATATTCGTAAACATACTCACGAGAACTGACCTAGAATGATACACGTATCTTATCAAATGTTAATGGTAAAAGACGTACGATATCCAGGGTTAAGCCACCAGCTCCAATACAGTATAGGAAGCATAAGAGACCAACTCTACATTGTATTTAACATTGATAAAACGAAAACTTTGACTCCTCTCTTTTCAAGAAATAAAACGAAAATAACGATATCTCCTGCCACATGAACACTGAAAACTTGAAATTTCACAGTTTTCCCTGATTGTAAAACTCAACCGAGCAACTTAAGGATAAAAAGCAAAAACGAAACAACAATCAATTATCAACGAAAAACAAGGGCTTCAACGCAGTAAAAACGAAACTAATTAAGCTTCAGCAATTTTTCCTATTTTCTACAACAACCAAACGGACAGGTATAAGAGGAATACTGACCGACTGAAGAAGAAGCGATGGCCGACCCACAACCAAAGGTCTTGAAGCAAGCGTCCATTATTTGTCCCGTTTTGTCATCAACCTTAATCTGCAACTTCATTACATCTCCGCAAGCAGGCGCACCAACGAGCCCCGTTCCCACAGTAGGATCGTTCTTGTCAAAAGAACCAACATTTCGAGGGTTGTTGTAGTGATCAATAACGTTCTCGTGGTACAGACGCGACAGAATCTGGACAGGCCGTGCAGGGACCTCCCTCGTCGCCAGCCCAAAAAGCTTGTTTGCAGCTTGTCTCAACATCATCTTCCGTGGATCAAAGGTCTCAGGTAATCTTCCCAAATGAGAGATTGAGGTCTGTTTACGTTTAGGGTTTGTTTTGAGAAATTGGCAAATGGCGGTTTTGGGGATAAGGAGGGGGGAGAGAGAGAGAGAGAGAGAGAGAGAACAGGTGGACGGCAGAGATGGTTCTAGAATTTGGAGTGTCTTATCAGATGATTTTGACACGTGTTTAATATGGATTAGTGTATTATCTATCTAGTACCATATTCTACGTGCTACGTCGACTGGTCAAACAAATAAGAAGTTGACACGTGTGACGACAGATCCCCGTCTATTGGACCTTAATGGGGTGATCCAAATAAAAGAAAACAACAAGTTGATTAAAATTAACCAAAAAAATAAAAATAACTTTATTATATTTTTGTTGCACTTAACAACACGTATATAAAATAAATTAAATTATCTTTGTAATTACCTTTAAATTTTTTTAAAGGTAAGGCGGCGGCACTGAGCTGTATGTTCCGCTTTTAAACTGCCCACTGCACTTTTTGTAAACGTATGTTTTAAATGTAAGAAATTCCTGAAAATGTATACATTCTGTTACCAAAACATGATTTCTAATGAGCCCCAAAAAAAAAAAAAATAGTTTACCTAATTTCAATTATTATTATTATTTACAGCTTTCTGAATTATATATAAGATATAAATTGTGGGTTTAAGGCTCCAAGTTAATTATAATAATATGGTATATGTTGTAGGAGATAACAAAAAGTTAACCAATTAAAAAACTTATGCATGGGTGGGGGCTGACAACGGAAACTTTTGGCTATTAATTTTTTGATGACATAAAATATTTCTAGAATAATACATCAAACGACTTGAAGTTAAAAACCATACTTTCTTAGTGGGTGGCTAAAAGTTGATTTAATTTTTAGGTAAGTGATTCTAATGATAAATTTTTTTAATGATTGATTTAAAAGTATATATAATGATTTTTATTCTATTCGCTTTGAACATGGATTGCTTCACTAGCAAAACTAAGGAAAAATAATAAAAGGGTTAAACAATTCTTTTCCTCTTAATAATATTTCCATTTCATGTTAAAAATATATTTCCTTTAAATTTTTAATGAAAGAATTATCTCATCATAAAATTATTATGTTATACGCATGATTCATATAATTATATTCTGTGTACATGTATGTATATATAGTTGAAGCGTAAGCTCGAATAGAATATGATTAATTGTTCATCATGCATAATAGATCCACCCACATATTTAAAACTAAATTAATTAATATATATATATATATATAAATACTTTTTTATAATGTATCTAACAACAACAAAAAATTACCATACATATATATATATATATATGAAAAAGAAATTGAAATTAACAAGAATCCAATTAAAAAAAAAAAAAAAAAATTATATACGTTGGGAACGAATGATGGGGTCGGTTATACTCTGAATAATGCTGGTTTAACAAAACCCGAAGGGTCAAATTTCTACACTGAATATATAATTTGAATAACTAATTTAATATTAATTTATTTTAATCAAATATTACAGACAACAAAACCTTAAAAGTGGAACGACGTCGGTCATGCTTTTAAAGGTTGATATGCAATTAGTTATGGTGGTGGTTAGGTTAAGATTTTTTTCGTAATTAAGTGGAGTTATATTTTATTGTCATCCACTGTAGAAACTTATTTACAAAAAAGTTAAGTACGTCATGAATTAAATCATTATAACTATTAAACTTTTCATATTATTCACACTTTCAAAAAATAAATAAAATTTGTTTGATGAATTTTAACATTCATATTTTGCAATCAATTTTATAATACTAATAGATTATCAATCTCTAAAAATTACTCGTACCGTTAAAGAGATGAAACATTACTCTACCTCTCTATTACTCTAAATAGTACTCTTCTTATCATATTTG